CGACGTCCAACGCGACGTCGACGGCGTTCGCCGTGGGCAGGTCGACCTTGGAGCAGGCGGCCAACAGCGGCACGCCCGCGGCCCGCGCCGCGTCGGCGACCTTGAGCGTCTGCGCCTCGACGCCCTGGGCCGCGTCGACCTGTGTGCAAATCAACCAGTGAGCTGGGACGTCGGGGCCAAACTTGAGAATTCGCTAGCTCGGTCACATCGAAGTCGATTCGGCTGATTTTTGGACGAATCGATTGCTCTTAGCGAGTTCTCGAAGCACGGCGGAAGTGCTCGTGTCAAAACATTCGCATACGCGCACATTGAAGTCGGGTTGAAGATTTGATTTGCACACAGGCGTCGACGAGCAAGAGCGCGCCGTCGCACGCGCCGAGCGACCGCACGACCTCGTGCGCGAAGTCCGCGTGGCCGGGCGTGTCCACGAGGTTCACGAGGTATTTTCGTCCCTCGTAGTCGTGGACCATGGACGCGCTCACGGCCTTGACCGTGATGCCGCGCTCCCGCTCGACCGCGAGCGTGTCGAGCGCGTCTTGGCCGACGGCCGCGGCCGCGTCGATGTTGCCGCAGTGCTCCAGCAGCCGCTGGCTCAGGCTGCTCTTGCCGTGGTCGATGTGCGCGACGATGCTAAACGTGATCATCTGGTCGCAGGGGATGGTCGCGAGGGCGTCGATGGTGGTGACGTCTCTGATGGTCGTGATGCATCGCTGTGGCGCACATCGCAGCAATTGAGCGATGCGCCGCGCCTGCAGAGCGCGGCTTAGCATTGTCTAGCGGGTGATTGCGAGCTCGCGGCGTTGCAGCCATGACGCTGTGGCCGCCATGCTGCTCTCCCTATCCTACCCAGCCAAATCTACATTAGGATCATGTGTCCGGTGCACGGTCGTGGGCGAGCTGCTTGCCTCCGTCGCTGATCCTCGTCTCGCCAGCAGCAGTGCGATGCCGCGTCCGATGGTCCGACCGTGGTGCGGGCTCGGGCATACGAGAGATTTCGTTAGACGGGG